TGAAGGCGATTCACATGCAGACTTTAGCGCTAATGGAAGTCATTTCATAGAGAACATGATGACCGATTGACTGAAATCAGTGAGTTGGCTTCAAGTGATAACTCCCTCTAGACAAGCACCATCGAACTGAGCAGTTGAGAATTTTGTTCGAAAGTTGAAGTTTCTCGTTGCCTCGGCAAGCGCCAATGCATTCGACGAGATAAAATGATTGTTGACAAGTTCTTAAGGCAGTACCACAATGCTGCTCATTCAACTACTGGCTACCGTCCAGCTATGTCATTCAACAGTCGAATTCTAAGAACAAGTTTAGTGAGTTTGAAATCTGTTGACGTTGTTTATTACCGGACAGACTCTCGAGAACCATTGTGCTTAATCAGATAGGCCAGCGAATTTGTCCGATCCTCGACTTGGATGACAGCTTTGAGATGACATTTCACGAACTTATTTCTGATTGCTGTAATTCTAATGTTTTAGAGTCCTGGTAACCAAACAGTGCGAGTTCGAAAAATTGCGCAACAGAGAACAGTAAGTTTACAGAAGTTCCGAACTTCTTTCAAGTAGTGGCAGATGAGATGATTGCAAATGAACTACGATCTTGTTTGTTTAACCGTATCACAGATCACTTGTACTTTGACTGACAGCTGAGTACATTTCGAATTTGACTCAATCTTTTTGTGCTGCATTTCTTAAGCTGAAGTACAGTGTTTTCTGTGGTTGTTTAGCCTCCATTCACGGTTTTTAGCTTCCACGCACAGGATTTTAGCCTTGTTAGCAAGTTGTTTACTGAGTAGTACAACAAAATGTCCCGGCATCAGACCCGTACGTTTATTAGGTCAGCAACGGACACGTGAATATTTTTCAGAATGGAGATGCACTGTCAACTTGTATAATGCTTCCTGTTTTCGGTCTTCAAATAGACCGTGAAGAAGCCCTGAAGCTTGGTAATACCCGTCGAAAGTTTTATGATGATCATGTCCAAACTTTATGCACGATGGTCTACGACGAGCCTGAGTGTTCACTAGTTCAGCTGAAAATGAAAATTGGGATAGAACTAACTGGGGTAACAATCAGTACTTCATCAGTTTTCTGCCTGTTGGAAGGGTATGCCTATACGAGGAAGGATTTGCCATTCAATCAATCAAATGTAACCTACGGACGTGAAAGACAAACGAGTTGATTTCACTCAACGGCTCACCATGGAAAGCTTAGCAAAACTACTGTTGTTTATCGATGAAACGAATTTCAACATTTGGTGCTCCTATTCATACGGAAGATCGAATGTGGCAAAACCTTTCGTTCGAGCCCTCCCTTCTTCCAAGGGAGTTAACCTAAAAATTTGGCCTCTGTGTCGGTTATTGGAATCTTGGAATACAGCTGTCAACTCCGGCTTATTTCGGCAACTTTCTTGAACATTGTTCGAGTAAACTGTCGAAAGATCAACCGAATATTGAAGCAGTCTTCATCTTTGACGATGCACCGATCCATAGGGAAGCTAATAAAGCTAATCTTAAGCTTGGGCACCCGGTTCGGTACCCGCTATGAGGAAGTCTTTTTTCAACGCAATAGAGGAAGTTTTCAGCAAATCCTAGTTCATAATCAGGTACTGCCTAGTGGAGTGTCTGGGCCATTTATTGAAAGTATCTGAAGGAATCACAATTAAAATCTACGAATATAAGTTGGCTGGGACTGTTTCGCGCATTGCAAGTAGGGGCGTTATCTCTTTCAATTTCACCTCAACGCCTTAAAAATCCTCTGGAGTAAGCGGGCTTATCCTTATTCATTTTCACAAGACAATCAAAGAAAGTTAAGAACTTTAAAACCTTGTTCTTTTGTACCACTTTACGAACCACCTGTTAACAACACTGAACATCATCACCGACGGCTCAGCAACCACGGGAAATACTGCGGTTCTGGGCTGAACCTATTTTACGTACTTCAAGTGCACAGTTTACTTAGCACGTTAGCCCATCATATAACAGGTTCGTAATGATGACCGTTTGACGACCACGGATCACATTGGCTAACGAAACATATCTTTTTAGATGTGCGTAATACTTATCCGTGACTGTATCGAGGACTTCACCCGGCATCCCACTGAACATCAATTTAAACTAAATTCTATATCAGGGTCTCGTTTTTTCATTTACGCCCGAAATCTTGGGCTTACCTTTAAACCAGATATCCTTAACAGCCCTATTAATTAAAGTGTAGCCAGTAACTGACTAAAATTTAATGATTATTCTGAAAGTCTTATTGATTCAAATGTCCTTCGTATTCAAATTTGAGAATCTGCTTTTCTCCTGATAGAAACAATCAGATAAAACTATGCGCCTTTCCTGGGTTTAACTGCAAATCCCAACCACAACGGACTATCTAATCGAGTACATAAGTTTGGTCCCAATGCTACCTCGGAGTACTGTATCACATTTAAAAAAAGTTTTCTGTTAACGACTGATGAAAATTAATGAAGTGATTAAACATGGAAACTTCTTATCTTCTATGTATAGGTCAAATAGCGTGAAGAGTCAAATTTCCCGGTTAAAATATATCTAATGGATGAATCACGATTCGCAGGTTCTCATAGTGAATCTAAATCTTGGTCGGAAATATCATTTCTTCTCAGGTTTTCCCGAATTTCACTCCGGGATGGCTCTCTTATAATGTGAATTCGATGGTTGGTCCATTCGGTTGTTTGGTGATGCTATCCCTCGTGTTCATAATAAAAAGGACTGTCATACCACGTCCCCTAGTCCTTTAGAAATGCTTTACTCGCCAATGTAAAAATAGCTATTCACTACAGTGGCACTGTGCTCATTTATAAAATTACCAGTATTCATTATACAACAGTGTGCGTTCCACAGGTTTCAACGTTAGAATTCTCACAGCGTTGACTTGTTTTCAGGATGAGAAATGAATGGATCAGTATCGACCTGTACTGTCAGGATATACGATCGCTGAGGCTTCTATACTGATTAACAGAAGCTTAACCTATAATCTACTCTATGTCGCTTTTTCAGTGTGGTCTGGAATGTTATAATGATGGTACAAACATGACGAATAATCTTAGATTTCACTTAAGTTATTCAAATGTTAGCCGAAGGAGCGGGGACAATTCAGAAAGAGAATCACCAGGTCTTCTATATGCAACGTATTTAAAACCGTTTCTGAGTTCTCGCTCAATTACGTTGACTCCAATGCAATTTCAGATTCTCTCCGTGTGAGAGTGTTATCATAGGCAACTTATGAATGATCTCTCTTTGATCCAATGCCTAAATTACATCCTTTTGTGATGCGGTCATGCGGCTTGTTTTTCTCGTGTTCGGCGGTATGATATTTTACTGTTTTACGGGTTTCTCCGTGCACCACTTCAGTGTATTGAAATGTTCTGAATTATTCAGAAAAATTTCCTCCGTGGTTTTACCTCGACCAGTATTCAGCCTCTGATGCTGTTTTGCCTTCACTTCACCCTCCCACGCTCAAAACTTTGGGTTGTCATGGGTCTCCGCTCACCAATGTGAGCAACTCAGTGTAATTGGACTAGTGCCGAAGTTTGAAAGCCCTTGTTAAATAACTTCAGAGTTTTTCCGCAGTGCATTTTTACATCTCACTATTTCTTTTTGCATGCTATATTTAGGTTATCTCTCCTGTCAGTGCTGCTTTAGATCAGACTACTTCCGTTCCACAGCAGTCTCAGAGGTTGTGTAGCAATTTTTATGGCGTTCACGAAATTTTCTGACAAGTACAAGGTCAAGTAAAGCTCATACTGGAGTTGTCTGTTGAATACTATTAGTCTTGCAAAATCTTCTCATTCCTCTGGTTTGTCGGTTGTCATCATGGGTAAAATAAATCGAGTCAGCAAGGGGTTGAATTCACTTTGGTCGCTCAGCATTGCCTATTGTATGACGAATCTGAGGTGTCTATTTTTCAAGTCAGCTAGATTAATTTCTAGCTCAAAAAAAAACCATTTTCATTTTAGTAAAAACTGATGTACTCTTCCCCAGTTATTTTGACAAAGAATTCGAAGGCATTTCAAAATAAAATTCCAATTTTCCGTCGTGCTTTTCCAGCATTTTGAGCGATCTACATGCCAAACTCTGTGGAAAATGTACTTCAGCAAACTCCTCCATATTCCAAGTTTTTTTATGTACTGACTGACAAAAACGCCCTTCCCATTTGTTCATTTCAACGCATACAGAAAATCTAACGTTCCTTAGTTTGCCCGCGTACTTGTAGGAAGAGAGTCGTGTCTGATTTTCTCACGAATTCAGCGTCTCATTTGGCCACCGTCCTCCAATAATTCACTGATCTCGTGGGTAGGATATTAACTGGAAAACAAGCACTCGTTCTCATAAGCCAACACCATACAATACAATCCTGACGGCTGCATTCATTGACAGTCGACACAAAATTATGATTCCTGTTGAATAGACATGTGTTGAGAATTACCATATTACGCGTTACCATGTTATATGATACGCTCAGCCCTTCCAATCTGCAAGATAAAACAACCGAAACCGTCCACAGTTTACGTATATTTCTTTTGAAGACTACTTATAGCAGCTTAAAACACCAATTAAAAAAGGACCAATCGAGATCAACCGGAACCATTTACACATCGATTCTGATCAGTTTAACACTGACGGATCATTTTTTATTCTGGTAATCTAATCACAGATAGTCTTGTCGGCCATGTTGTGCTCTCCTCGTGGACTTCGCAGCTCAGGTTCGCATGGCTTTACTCGACCTCGATCAATATTGACCTTTAGTAATTAGAAGTCTCCCGTTTGGTTTCGCGTGTGTGACCTTGTACGTTCTCTTTTGAATGAGACTGAGATTGTTTGAACGAGATATTGCTGAAACCACGTTGTATTTCGCAGTTCTTGGCATACCCTGGGAACAGGTACGTTTGGATCGGGTATCTGAGGTTTGGGATCTGTGTTCATGTGCCTCAGTCTCAACAGTTTCTCACAATACGCTCAGAGGTTTGTACGATTCTCTCATCAGCGACTGTGTAACAATCGCCAGGCTACGAGGACGATAAATGACACCACACATATTGTCTGAACCGACGGGATTGGAGCACGAACCTGTATCGGTTTGGGTCGAAGTGGAATTAGTTTTGATTGTATCCGGTGGGAGTTGAAATTTATCTAATGCAGTATGCACCATGATAAACGAGATAGTTACATGACTGATAATTAAGGAATTTATATCAAATTTCTCAGCTCTGGGAAGCTCAAGTCGATACGATATCGTCAGCAACCTCAGTGAGATTATCGTTATCAATTAAGAAAGTGATTTATTTCTGATGCAAATTACGCGTGATAAATCTAAGTAGCATGTGAAATCTATGGTGCCTCGATGTCATAGCTGGTGTATAATTTCTGTGGATACATGGGTGTTAATCTGAATGTCCAACAATGGTTGCTTGATAAAAAAAATTCAATGAAATTATGAACACAATTTCCACAATGTCAGTCAGATATGGGAGGATAACGAATGGTCAGCTGTTCGTGCAGTAATTCGTGGAAACCAATAAATGATATTGACTTATTGGTCAAATTATGACCCAATTTCCGGTCGAATTCCTAACACGACAGAATACATTGCCCCGAAGTTCACAGATCATTGAGAAACTCTGGTGTGAAGATATATTGGGCAGTTTGGCGTCATCTGCCATAAAAATACAGTTATGAATGCCAAATTGACTGTTGTACTGTCAGGTTTTCCATTCTCAGTCCTATGAAGGCAGTGACAAGTTATCTTAGGTATGCGCTTCTAATGAAGTAACCGTGCATCGCTCTATTCTGCTCCTCAGTTTTGCTTGTAATTGTAACAATACACGATAGGTCAATTTTGATGAAACAATTACTGAATTCGGCATCAGTAATATAAGATTAAAATTGAAATAATTCATTGTACAATATTAGCAGTACAACTACCTTCGAAGGTTCTAAACAAAGCTGAGTAGCTGTTTTATCTGTATGTATCCCCCGTGTCCCAGGTGGGATAAGAAACCGGCCGGCTGACAGAATTTTGAGTTTCACGCTCTAATCCGCAGCATGACCGACCTGGCTTCTAACAGTTTGCCCATTTTTCGCTGGTTTTGAACGTTGCCAACTCAAAACTCTCCCAACAATCCACTTGTTGTTGGACGTGTACAGCAGTTCCTAACAAGCCAGGTGAAACAGTTATGCTATTTATCCGTGAATTATCACTGGGTAATTGGTAGCTAATGTTATATGACTAACCACTTGATGATCAATCACTGAAATAATTGCACATATATAGTCACAAAATCACTAATCAGTTACTTTGCCGGGTGGCCTTGACAACTTCACAGCTTACCGGTTCGCCTGGAGTGCGGAACACGTTTGGATAATGGAAGAAGCGTGGTACCTTTTTCCATTTTGAGCACAAATCCGCGTCCATCTGGTCGGCAATTTTGACCATTCTCAAAGCAATCAGTTTGCAAGAACCGATACGCAGAGAGGAGAATGTCCCGCTGTCAATGGACAATATAAGACAATTTTTTATTAAGATCATTAGAATAAAATTTCAGATTAACTGGTCGTTGTATGGCCATCCGACCATTGAGTACGACTGACCACCAGACCACTTGAACACTGAAGATAATAGAAGAATCTGTGAGGATGTATTTTCATTGTGATGACACAGAACCAAATAGATTAGTAAGTCCTCAAGGCTAGATTGACAAAAACCATAAGCAGAGTAAGAGCAAGTCTCCGTTTACGCACTCATTGTGTTTCATTTCGTCCAGGTTCGATGGGCTTCCGAGTACAAATAATTGCGACGGCTTTATAACTGATATGGAAAGATGTCAACTTCACTCATGTGATGCGACCATATGCAAACACTTTGTGCTTCAAACAACAGAAGGATTTGAAAAGATTCACCTAATAAAAGTAGTCTGTCCTAATGTAATTCGAACCCACTCACGGACGTCATCCACCTATTGCACTCTCTACAAGCCGTGCTGGGAGGTCACATAAATGATTTCGGACATTTCCAAAGCGAATCATACGGTTTATCCACCCAAATCATGGTAACACATTGAATGCACTCCGCTGCCTACAACAGGATTTCTCCACGAATGGTGAGGTGTCCACCATACACGGGCACATTTGGCTACGGAATGTCGATTTGCGAAATGTTTGACTGGTCGGTCCCGATGGGATTAGAACCCACGCACGCATCCACTTTATCCACGGTTTAAAAGTCTATGAGGACATGAAAACCGAGCTCGGTGTTTTGGGGCAAAAGCTTCATCGGATATCGAAACAAAACTGGCAGTGTCTGCGCACTAAAAGCCAAACTCAGTGATCACAAGTGCATGAAAACCAGCAGACTGAGCTATAAACTCTTCCTGTTTTCCAAGGAAAATGACGGAAGTAATTTACAATAAGCCATTGCTTGAGATAACTTGACCGAAACTCATTCTCCACCATCCTACAGCACATCAGCCCGCACCACCAAAGAGCACTGAAGTTCCTGACCATTCTTAAATCCAGTCCGTTTTGCAAGTCCAAGATTTTTTGCCTTTCGGTCAGAGCCAACCATGACCAATATATATATATATATATATATATATATATATATATAGGTGGTATCAAAACTGATGCACACTGATGTCCAATAAGCATATTTTGTGCTCGTACACTTCAGCATTACCGCTGAACAGCATAATTGTATCTGTAACATGACTAACAGGTAGTGACGATGTTTTAGGACAATGACACGAGTGGTCTTTTTATATGCGGTGAAAAGCTATGCTCAAAATTCAGGTGAAACCGTATTTTGGCCACTGCCTGTGGGCCAAAACCATGACTGAATATGAGCCTCTGAGGGTCAACGGAACAATATTTGTTTACCTTGAATTAACCGAAACGTTATTCAGAACACAATGTTCATGCGCGGCATTAGACATTTGATCTGCCTTTAGTATTCAGGGATTTTCACGGTCTCATCGACTCAGAGTCCATCATGTTGATGGTGAAATATTCTTCTTTTCTATGCTGCCTCACATTTCACACTTTTGACTCCAATAGCCAGTGGGTAGGTAGCTCTTTGACTTCTTTCTTCAGAACAGAGATTTTTACGATTACATTTCAGTGTGAGTTACTAGACGGTAAATTTATGGACTAGACCGTGCAGCTGCGTATGGACCACACATCTTATAGTGAATGAACCGACAAATCGTTTCGTGTGACTACTTACACACCTCTGGAGAAACACAGCATAGAGCTTTCTCCTAAAGAACAGTTACCTATCCAGGTGATTTAGTTTCGTTGAATTCGAGGACTTTTTCAGTCACAGCGGTGAAGATTTCCCCAACATTTGAGGCGTCTCTACCTGAAGTCCACCAACGAAGCTAAAGGTATTTTATTCCGATTCAAATCAATAATGTTGGCCTTAAGATATACCGACATTCAGCCAGGTAATTTTTTCGAGGAAAATCACTGCTACAAATGAGACTTTTCCGAGACTTCCATTACTCATCATCTACCAAACACGCACATCGCCAAAATGACAGGCCTGCTGGTTTCAATCCGTTGATGGAATCAATACACAACCTCATTTGTCGAGCTTGGAGTACAGCCTCCGAATAAGGAGATACCAGTAGGATTGGAAATTGCGTCTACCTTATGTCCGACAAGGAGTGATAGAGTCTTGGAATATTCTCGCGCTGGATTAAAAAGAGGGATTTCCGTCACTGTTTTTGATCATTTTGCACACAAGATTGTCCCGTTCATACGATTTCTTAGCTTCTGTATCTTTGAAATATGTACTCGGGGTAGTTTTTCTGTGATTTATCCGATAAAGGGGGCTTCTAATCGTGTTGAAATACTAGGCAAGATTTAGCAAAATGATTTAAAATTATAGGCCTCTGCATTTCTTCTTTAATCCCCCTTAAAATGGTGCCAAGAAAATTTGGGTACAGTCGAGGTTTTCATAGCTGTCGCGATAACCATTTGAGCGATTAGCGAAGCGGGTTTGGATGATCTTGAAGCCAACGCTCATAATGATGCGAACTGTCATTTCCTTTTTTCAGTAAGTTTGACAGTTATCGTTAAAAATCATTTGTAAACCAGACATACCGTGAAATCTCCAGATAGCGAAAGGATTTCTCCTAACCTAATCATACAGGTACAACCATGAAAAATATGAAAGTATTCGGACGGTAAACCTATCTGAATACAACCTAGGATAATATGTGTGGTACCGCTGATCAGTCTAATTATGTTCCTTACTTTCCTACTTGCTAGCTTACCTTGCTCAGAGCCTTTTACTCTGGCAACCAGGGCCACGCACATTCAACTACGCATAGAGCGGCAAAGAATCAATGTGAATAAGAGGAAACATTGAGTAAATTATTGTCATCACCCGATGGCCTGATATGCTTTAATTGAGTTACGAAGCTTGAAATATATACTCGGTAAATTTCCGTGTGCATTACAGTCGAAGCTGCCCGGACGTATATATACATATATATACATATACATATATATATATATATATATATATATATATATATATATACATATATATATATATATATAATGTATATGAACTTAAGGTCAAAGTTCGCGTTTTCAAACAACCCGTCTTCCACTTTCCTGCTTTGTTACAGGTTTGTTATCCGTAGGAAGATACCAATGAATTCTTTTTTTTAACTATTTAACTTCTATCCATTTTTCCGGAATTCATATTTCAGCTACTGGGTCTCTAAGACCTGATCTAAATCTGAAATACTGATTGATAAATCCTATTTAAGGGAAACAACCTATAGCAGCTTCTAAAAGGGATTGGAACTTTGCTAAAAATATCCTAATTACTTATGAAATGAGTCCCCATATAGTGCGGACACTAAGCTAATCTACTGAGAATAGGTGATAACACTTGGCAGTAGTTTCACCTGGTTCGTTAAAAATCATCCATCATCTGCCGAGCCCCCCAACTGGCAATTGAATCCGGGGCGCATAAGCGGAAATCACTCGAGCGTTACCACTAAGCTAGCCGGGTTGGCTCTCAACAGCTTAAGCTGTTTCTCGACAACACTTCTCATTATTCGTTTCGACTACACAACGAACCACTTCCTAAATAAAGTGTCTCACTACTGAAATCGGTCTGGTAAGTAGCCTAAATCAGAATGGGTTCGGTTAAAAACTCGCCTGTTAGCACTGAGGGTGACAGGGTGGCAGCATATTTCATGCAGGAACTTACAAGTTGCGTCGTTTAAAACCACCACACCACGAAAGACAAGTCTCCCGTAGCGGTACCTAATACTGAAAGACTTTCTATCTGAATATTACAACTTCAAGTTCCATGTATCACTGATTCATTTTATCCCAGTAACATTGCCAATGCGGAACAAAAATAAGTGATAATTCACGAAAAACTTCTCATTACGTAACATAAAATATGTATGTCTCTGAACCTAAATAGAATTATAATTCAGTCACATCGATCAATTCCATTGATACTCTTATAAAGCCTAACCATAGAATGACAAAACAGGGGTAGAAGACTAAAAATCATCAACGTTTATGAATAGACACTAACCTTGGCATGCCTTTTTTTAGTTGAGAAGATATTAAACGATTCTGATAGCGAAAAGCTCTAGTTTTATACCGTAATCTCGACGACCTTGAAAAACTCCCGTTTATGAACCGCGCTGCATACCGATTGGACAGACCCATTGTCGACTGAACCAATCGTGGATAAGGAGTGGTAGGGGTAACAGAAGTGGACAGCAAATGCGCGTCACGCCCGGCAGATAAGTGTGAATGGGATCCCTGAATGGAAGGGGTGGGGGAATATCCTAAATTACAGAATAATGAGCCCTTAAGTTAATTTTGTTTTGAATTTTGAAAAACTCCGTGATCATCAATCCATAGTCATTTCACGTGACTAAGTTGGATAGAACAATATTGTAGAGCTTTTCATTACTAACTCTCAGTCTCTCTCAATTTCACTGTGTTGGCTTTGGGGCGTGGACGAAAATGCCCCTAAAAAACAAGCATTCCACGCATTTGTGAAGACTGATTGTTAAAGGGAACTGTAGCGCGATTCTGAACTAAACATGTTCTTCATGCAACTGATTGTTTAAAACTGAAGTGTTCTGCACTCTCATAAGTGTCTTTCTGGAAAAGTTTCAGGTTTTGATCTCGTTGGGACTAGAAACCACAGATTGTCTCAAGTGGATCATATACTTATCCAACTAATAATTCGTTAAAGAATCATGCATTTTCAGTAACATTACCCTAAGGTTCATGTTTATACTCATTTTTGCATTCTCCTGTGCGTCCGTCTCGTGTATGCTGAATGGTCCATTCGTTTCACCGTTCCATTACCCTTCATACTGATCAATTAGGAAGGTACGATGCATGAAGATAAATGATAATGAGACACGCGGTCAAGGTGGTTACGTAAGACAGGCCCGCTAAATGTCACGTATCAACCCCCCCCCCCCTCATATTTGTCCACATCGGGAAAATTAGCCCATTCGGAATACAGACAACGAGGCGGATGTCACGTAACCCGGATGGGTGATGAGAGCAGGTCATGCCTGTCATTAGACCATCTGTTATTCCCAACCAGCTTTTGTACATACAAGACCTACTTCTCCATTTTCCTAACCTTGTCTCTGACATCTTGTTTGAAAGGAACGCGGAGGCAAGGGAAGGAAAAGTTGTATAATTTAATTGGATATATTCAACATTCTGCTTTGGTGCTTTTGTGGAAGCTCAGTCAGGTAGACTGTGTTATTCTAAGGACTTGTGCAAATCCGGAAACGGAAAACCTTCTTACTGTAAAGAAAGTGACGACATTTCATCGGTAGAAAAATATCTTCGTAGCAAAAATGATTTAATTTTCTTGCAAAGAACTGAAACTGTCTAGTTGGCGGAACTGGAAAGATATGGAAAACCTTTGTTTCCCACCGCAGCTACATCCTTAACCTAACTGGAACTAAATACAGGCTCCCATGGAACCATAATTTCCACCTGGGCGACATGAGTGAACGAATAACCGTGCTTGACCGTAGACGGTTAGCTGGGCCCACGAGGCAAATTTTTTCACCATTTGATATTGCACAATGGCGTATCACGCATTGTCAAGCGGTTAATTTAACATTGGATAATCATTGTAGCTCTTTCAACTGACCTACACTGTGCATCTACCGAGGGATTCAAATCCGAAGTGCGTGGGTTTCGATCTCCTGTTTGGATGATGAATTGCGTGGACGTGATGAGTACTGGGGATAAGAAGGAAGCCGATGAGTACCGGGTAGGATAACTTCAATGATTAGCGTGGGGACTTGCTGTCGTCAACGGTGATTAACTGGTCATCATAGTTGAGAGGTCCAAACTTGTCAGATGAAACAGCTGTTATGCAGTGAGTGATTCAGTGGGTTTTCAAGGAAATTGTATGTATACCACCTTTAGCATAGTTATAAAATGCTTTTCAGCCAAACAAATACCGCCAAATTAAGTTACAGAGCAAAACGGGATCTCATTTCAGACTGAAAGACATCCTTGTTTGTTAGAACATGAGCTAGAAAGGGAACAACGGAATTCTTGTGCAAAGACAATCTACAGGGAAGCAGTTTATACATAGACCGGATCAATGCTTGAGACTGAAAACGAGTTATATCAAAGTGCCATGAGTGTGAAGTATCAGAAAGGATTTTCTGTGCAAACGCAACGGATGGTGTTATGTGTCTTTTGCATAGCTCCAAGACTAGGTCATTTAGGCTATACGAGAAACAAGACTAATGACGCGTAAGCCTTTGCGGAGAGTGATGAAGTCCTTTCTTAGTAATTCTGGGGAAATGACAGGGGAACAATAGAGAATGGTAGGTAATATACATTGTTTTACAAAAGTGGTAAAAACAGAAATGTCCGACTTCACCTGATCGATCGGATACCGGAAACGATGGTATAGCATACTGGACCGCGTGCGAGGCATTCGAAAAGCCACAGTTGTGCACGGTGAATAATGATTCGATATCATAGAACTGTCACACCAAAATTCACAGAACTGTGTGATCTTTATTTATGCCCATTAATTACAACCAGTTTGTTCGAATCAGATGCATTTCGGTGTAGAATCCAAAATTAAGTTGTCATGTTAGATTTTAACAGTTGGTTGGTGGGTTTGTGAGAAGGGTAAGCACTAGGCTGCATGTCGATGGTTCGTGTGATGAACTGATTGGTTCGAGGGAGCGTGCGTCACTACTGCACAGCTATGTAGGATATGCAGGACTTGTCATTGGTTAGCGTTAACAAAGCACTCTGTCTGTGGATTAGAAGAATGCGAACTGCAGCCTCGATGATGACGTGTTTTTAGGGAAATTTTCGACTCCCTGGTAATTTATGCGCAGTGAGATCGATCATTCAGCACAGTCCCGGCTAGAGCATGAGTAAGTATCAAAACCGTGCTGGTGTACATCCATATATGAGAGTGATATTAATCGACTGTCCACGTAGCATGCGTGTGCACACGAGTCGGCTTCTTTTCTTGCATACAGCTGCTTGAACCGAGCACAACAGAAACCCTCGGAATTCGACGCATACTGTTTGCTGATTATTTCCTACAACACAGATTGCATTTACGGTACACTTCGCTGATAAGTCAAATCAATTTTTCCTCCAACAACGATTACCTGCTCGGTAGATCCGTAGGAGCTGGCTCCTAATGATGTTCCTCCTATCAGTCGTTAATCTTTGGTTGTGTAAGTCTGTTTATCAGAGCCGTGAAAGTAACCTTTGGTCTGTGTTGCCCTGCGCACATTTTTCGTGCAACTGCAGATTATGAGGGCTGAAGGAACATATCTGTATTCTCCGTGATAATTCTGATGACAACTGTTATCGTGATGTCATCAAATTGGGTTTTATAAGCTTAGGTGCGTTCTTCACCCGCTCGAGGCAACAAGAGTCTGTGGAAAGGTATCACCCCTCTCTGTAGCGAAAGAATGGAATACTTCAGCCGTTATTTTGATACGGACGTACTCATCGTCACAATAATACAGTAGTCAAGCCCCTAGGCACGCTCCGCCTCAGATGCGATTGGCCTTCCTCCTGAACTCCCTAGAGTCAGTTCTATAACAAAGCGATGACATCGTTTGTGAATCAGTCTGTTAGTTGTTATGTAATCCTTAAATCCTAGAGTCCTATGATCATTCTCCCCTTTCCACAAGGTATCAAATCAATAGTAGTCATAAAAAGCTTTCGTCCAACAGCAGTGACATCAACTTTACTGAAATTGCTCGAGAAGGGTATCATCATGTACTTTCAGTTATACGTGAACGTCCTCGTGATCCTCACCAATTTTCTTAGCACCTTAGATGCAGCAGCTTCCCTCGTTCATCTTATTCGTAAATCGTTGAACAACAAAGCAGGACCAATCAGATAATTTCTCTCGATCAGCAAATCAATTCCTCTATCACGGCTTCTCCAAATGAAAAGTTCATGAACACGGAAACCGTGAGTTGTCTGCGCAGCTATTTCACTTAGACGGTACAGTTCACTAAGTAATGCAAAACTCTTCTAAATCCGTTATCGACGGTTCTGGAGTGTTCTAAGCAGTTGTTATTAACCCGCAATTATGTCCCAAGTACTTAAGTGATCTGTCTACTGTTTCTGTCGTCCATGCCCCAAAGTACACAGAAGATGTGTTTCTGCTTCAATCTATCACCAATTTTTCTGACTTCCATGCGTTTCAAGAAAGTCCTTCAAGTATTGGCCACTTTTAACTCAGCATGGTCTTGCATTGAACTCATCTAAATTTTCGTAGTGCGGCTTAACTCCTTGGAGACAAACCTTCCCCCAAAGACAACACGAGTTAACTCTATCAAATATCTATAAGTTGCTATAATTTGCGAATCCTGATTATCTTTACACATTCTGTTATATTTTGGGAAACTCTGTCGTTTGTCCTTTTACATTCTTAAACTCAGACGATTCCATACCCAACAACCACTCCTGTGTACCGGTATCCTTCAGTATTTTCTCCTTATCTGTAATACTTTCTGACTTACTGAAACAAGATTTCCGAATTATATGTTGCATCTATTGAGAATTAATCACGTTCCTTGGGCATATTGAATTTTTTATCTAAAAAATTAGCAATATACACATCGAATTGTGAATGACTTTTGTCCAAAATGTACTAGTGGACAATAAACATCCATTGCACGCCGGAGTGTCTCTCAATTACTGAAACCCCGAAATCCGTTCGTATCTTCATTGTATCTTTCTCGCACCAACAGGAATAAGTACTTCCTTATCCCGTACTTGAAGCGTTCTTTAACCAACGAAAAGAGAAGGCAGCAACTGAATTATACACTAACTTTGGTGCATAACTTTCAGTTGCTCCAAGGATTCAAATCTAAAGAAAGCAACCTTTCTGTCTCGGTTTCTATTGTGTAACGGTCATGTGACAGTTTGGAGCAAACGTTTTTGACTGTACTATGAACACTTGAGCCGACAGAGATCACATAAATATAAATACGAAAATGTCAATGTTACACTAATAACAGTGGTTTTTGAGTTACTCCTCATAATAACCTATTCTGAGGTTTTACGAATAAATAGTAAAAGAGAATAATGGCGGAATAAAAGGCAACGCACAAGCAGAGAATCACGTTGCCGATGAAACAGCCTGGACTTGAGTGCACCACTGACTGGAGTGCTTAGTCTTTTCATACTGTTTATCTAACTTACAGGTGGGCGAGCCTCGTGAATCCGAACTTGGAAGGTTGACAAATCTTGCTTGCCGAAATTCAATGGTTGGG